TGGTTTGGTTTTCTTTCTCCCCCCTGCACGCATCACTCCATTCTCCAGGACACCAGCTTAGATTGCTGACAACAGCATGAGGAGGGGATGGGAGACTTGCAGGCACCTGGGATTTCCTAAACGAAATCTTTGGCAACTGTGTCTTATTATTTATTTCCTTATTTTTAATTCCACCCCCCTCAAGCTGTCATTCCTTAGCAGTGAAAATGAAAAGCTGCCATTTATGTATGTACAACAATGGAAGCCTCTGCAGGCCACATGGCTCCTGCAGTTTAATTTACTTTAATTCATTTTATATTGAACCAAATGATCTTATTTGCTTTTTTTTAATGGAGAGCCTTCAGCATGCAGGGTGGGAGCCAAGCCCCCCTTCCCAAGAAATTATGAGCCCAGCTGCTATTAAAACTTGTACTCAGCTTGATGTGCCCATCACAGCTGATAGGGGAGGAAGGGACATCTTTAGCCACAGGTATGCTCCTTCTCCCACAAACTCCTCGATTGCCGAGGTGTAAGATTGGAGTCTGATCTTGGGATTACCTTCCTTTTTCTGCTTTTCTCTCCTACTTGCAAGCTCTTCACTCCCTGCCTCCAGTCTGACTGTAGTCTCACAGCATCTCTTGGCACCTCTGTCTTCCAGGCTGGTTTGGAATCCGGGAAAGTCTGGGATTATCACAGAATACCAAATTGGAAGGGACCTCAGGGATCATCTGGCCCAACCTTTCCTGGCAGAAGCCTGGTCTAGACAAGGTGGCCCAGCACCCTGTCCAGCTGAATCTTAGAAGTGTCCAGTGTTGGGGAATCCACCACTTCCCAGGGGAGATTATTCCAGTGGCTGGTTGCTCTTGTGAAAAATTGTCCTCTTCTGTCCACTTGGAATCTCCCCAGGAGTAGCTTGTACCCACGCCCCCTCGTCTTTTCCATATGACTCCTTGTAAAAAGGGAGTCTCCGTCTTCTTTGTACCCACCCTTTAAACACTGGAACATGGGGATAAGGTCTCCCCTAAGCCTTCTCTTCTCAAGGTTGAACAAACCCAGTTCTCCCAGCCTTTCCTCACACGGCTGCCCAGTCCCTTGATCATCTTTGCGGTCCTTCTCTGGACCCTCTCCAGCCTGTCAACACCTTTTTTGTAGAGCAGGGGCCAAAACTGAACACGGTATTCTAGGTGTGGCCTGACGAGCGTTGAGTAGAGTGGGATGATGACTTCTTTATCTCTGCTGGTGATGCCCTTGTTGATGCAGCCCAGCACCCCGTTGGCTTGCTGGGCCACTGCAGCTCCCTGTTCACTCACGTTGAGCCTGTTGTCCCCCAGGACCCCCAGGTCCCTCTCCACAGAGCTGCTCTCCAGCCAGGTAGATCCCAGCCTCTGCTGCATTCCTGGATAATATTTTCCCAGGTGCAAGACCTTACACTTGGCCTTGTTGAACTTCACAAGGCTCTTGTCAGCCCACTCCTCCAGCCTATCCAGCTCTTCCTGCAGGGTGGCTCTCCCTTCCCAGGTGTCCACTTCCCCACTTTGGTATCGGCAGCAAACTTCATCAGGGGACACTTGATCCGTCATCCCGATCACTTATGAAGATATTAAAGAGCATTGGGCCCAGTATCGATCCCTGGGGGACTTCACTTGTGACGGGTTGCCAGTCTGAAAAGGAGCCATCTCCCACCCTGCTCTGGGTGCAGCCTGGCAGCCAGTTCCCCCCCACCGCACCGACATTTCTCTAGATGGAAACGTATCTGTGTCTCTAGGAGGAGGCTGTGGGGAACTGTATCGAAAGCCTTGGAGAAATCCAGGTAGACAATGTCCACTGCTCACCCCAGCATCCACTTTGTTGTGGAAGGTAATCGGGTTTGTCAAGTAGGTTTTGCCCTTGGTAAATCCGTGCTGGCTTTTCCCAATGACGTGCTTCATTTGAATTGTGATAATCCCCAGGAGAATTCATTCCATACTTTTCCCAGGGACTGAAAGACTGATAGGTCTATAACTTCCTGATTATTTTGCCAAATTTTCAATCTCTCCTCATTCTTTGGAGGAGTGCTTGCAGAGATATTCCATTTCTGAGTTATTTAAGCTTGGAGAATGCTGGCTAGCTGTATCCTGATAATATAGCAGTTGTCATGCTTCTCAGGATCAGGATCACGTTTACTGCCCTCTGTATTCTAACTGCAAAGACAAACTTCTTTTTCTGCCTCTTAATTTTAGTTTGCTTTTTCTCAGTTAAAGCAGAAACTGATACTACAAATCCAAGACGGTTCCTGATGTCATCTTAAATCAAATGTTACCCTTCCTGTGATGTAACACTACAAACACATGACCCAGGTACTTTAGAGAAATGAGTGCTCTAGACCAAATTTTTAATGTGTTCACTATCAAAATGAAAAGATGCATCTAACTGAGGTAAGCAGAGCTTAATAGTTTCGTTGATGATCTTGATGGAACAGTGGAGGTTTATCAAATGTGCAGTTGACACTAAACTGGGAAAGGCTGTAAACACACTGGAAGGAAGGCCTATAATCCAAACTGACAGACTGGAGAAATAGTCTGAAAAATAGGGGGGACTGAAGACAGTCTAGAAGAGAATAATAAGATCTGGACTGAATGATCTCTGAGAAAAGGCTCAAAAAAATGCTGTTCAGTCTGCAGAGAAGACTGAGGGGAGCTACAAAGACTTTGATGTGTAAAAGAAAGAGAAGAATCTGATCTTGCTCCAATCACAACAGACATGGAGAGGTAAGAGACTCAAAAGAAAGACATTCAGACCAGATGCCTTGTACTAGAAAGGCTATGCAAACATCAGTGAAAACCATGTAGTATTCAGAGAAGACTAGAATCTCAAGGAGCAGCATGAAAAGCCAGACTAGCTTTGGAAGTGCCTTAATTTCCAAAATGAGGAAAATCTGAAGAGCCTGCTCAGAGGTTGAGTGCAGAATGATCAAAGTCCCTGATATCCCATCCATGGGCAAGTTTTATCATCTATTACTGACTGCCAGCAAGAAGGTACTGCAAGGAAGCTCAAGATTAAATACCTCTATCCCATTCACAGCTGTGCTGAACTCTATCACTCACAGTGCATCAATCTCCACTTCACACCCTGTATTATGGTGAGCTAGAGGCTGCTGTTCCAACTAGTTATATCAAGGGAAAAATTCTTACTATATGCATCTTGAAAAAAATCTTCTAGTTCTACTAGGTAAATTTAATTTAAGTTTCTCCAGCAGCTTGCTACCAGCTACTATTAAGTGATAGCTGTCCAGAAGTTCACAAACTACAAGCTAGACCTCAAGCAGAAACAGTACTACAAGCATATGGGGAGAATACTTTGTGTCTGGCAAGTATTAAGATGGCAGATAAGATAGCAGACTGAGATAGAGTTTGGTCAAAGTTAATGTGTCTAAAGTGCAATAGAACTGTTCTAACACTGAAAAAGCTTACATTTAAAAAAAACTCATCGGAAAAATAAGATGTGTAGCATTGTGCTGGCCTGTAGAAGTAAGCTGGGCCATCAGGCTCAGGGAAAGAGCTCAGCTATGTGGTTACCAATTACAATTTCTATGGCATCCTGGGGCTCTCTTGGAGCTCTCCCATCCCAGTTTGATCTTGCTTAATTTGTTACACAAGATCTCATCCCTGGTTGGCTTAATGGATGCAGTGTAGAGAGAGGGATAAAAATAAATCCAGATCCATAGTGGTAGGTAACAGCAGTCTCAGATGTCAAGGGACAGTGAGACCATCAACAACATCCTAAGACAAAAAAGGACTTAAAAAAAGTGAGAAATATTGCTATCCAGAAAAAGGTATTAAAAATGAAGCATCTGTGCTCTGAGTCATTATAGGCCCTTGACAGATGTGATCTTACCAGCCTCCCACTGTAGCTGCAAATAAAGACCCCTTCTCTTTCTTCTCTCCCGACAAGGATTAATGAGTACTTGGGATAGCTCTCAGACAAGCAAGCAAAGGCTGTGAACCTTTTCCAACACTGCAATTTATCTTGGGAAGACTATTCACATCACTTTTCCCTCCCTCCCCAGGCTGGATTATGCTCTGACCTAGCACATTAATCTCCCAAAATAAAATAATAATAATAGAAGAAGAAGGAAAAAAAAGAGCTGGACAATTGCCAGAAATAAATTAATAACCATCTCGAATAGCCCTGCTGTGCAGGAACAAACTGCTCAACTCCCCTGCCACCCATGTCATTTGTAAGCAAAACTATTCCCAGTTTAGATATCCCCTTAAGTGCCCTGCCTGAGACTTTCAGCAATTAATGATAATATCTTGCATCTATATAGTGCCTTTCATCCCAACAGCTGCCAGAAAGTTTCTTTACTAAATGCAAATAATACACATTGCTACATTTGCTACTGAAATGTAGACACTACTAAGTGGAGAAAGAGGCAGCATAAGAGATTTGTAAGAGTAAAAAAATATGAAAAGGTATTTCAAGAGAGAAAATGTAGTGAGAAAGTTTCAAAAGTTAGGCCTAGTCTAGATATGATTTTATAAACATTTAAGTGTGTTAACCATTTAGTTAAAATATTTCTTTAACCATGGTTAGAAATGGTGCTGTCTTTTGTGGCATCAGTAGCTTCAATTTAATACCATTACTTCTTTGACCAGAGTGGAAAGCCAAAGAGACAAGTACTTGCAAGTTCTTTCCATTAAATGAAGAGATTTGTGCTTCTGAAATATTTATTTATAGAGATTGCTCAGAGAACAAGACTTAGAACAAAGTCAACCAGAAAAGCAGTTATCTCACTGCAAGTACCTATTCCTTCTCAAGCAATACTTACCTCTCTCTCTCTGGACTTTAATTACTTGCTGGTATTACTAAACCCATGCTCAGGTCTGTGATGACTCAAAAACCAAAACTCACTACCTAGGTGATTTTCTGCCACAGTTTTATCAGATTTTATTATTTTTATTCTTCCATTTCATGAGGCAAACATGTTGTAAAGGTATCAGGTTATCAAACATCTGTATATCAAGAAGAAAAGAGACTCTTACCTTTGACTTGACAGCTAGGATGATCTTAGGCAGGGCAACAATTAGGCATTTCAATGCGATGGTGAGATACTTCAGTACAAAGTCTGCAATCCCCACAATCCACATCAGGTCAAAGAAGTCCAGCCTCTCAAGGTTGGGTTTCAGAAATATAAGGCTGAAAGGCATGACACTAAGGCTCAAATACCAATGAGAACATCACTTAAGTTTCTTGATGCTAGTTGTATCCACTGCTGGCTAGAGAAAGACTAGAAACTTCATTGAACTTCAGTGAAGTTCTCAAGGGCAATAGGAATAAGACATGCAAATCAGTCCCATCATTCCTCTCAGTCTCTTGACTTTGTCTGTTCTTGCCCAGTTCTACTGAGGTCAACAGGTTTGCCCACTATCAGAAAACAGGACCCAAACATGTACAAAATCTGTTTTGGAAGACTGCAATCTCTGTAACTTGCAATCCACACTGTGAAAGAGCCTTTGGTCTAAGGACAGTGCCTTTCATCTACAGGCTTGCTCTATCAGATCTGATTGTAAAAGCTTATCCTTTGAAGTCCAAGTCAGCAGTAGTTATGATTCCTTGGGGAAGTTATGGCCAGGTCAAGACCACTATGTCCTCTGAGGCTGGCTTGCCACGGGTAGAACTACTGCAGTGGCAGCAGGCCCTAAAGCTACTTGTGCCTGTGAAACAAACTGGTGACAAAGGAAGCACTGTATTCAAAACACAGAAAGAACTTCAGGTGTGTTGTGCTCTGACAGTGGCCTGCCACTGCCTAAAGCAGAACAAGATCTGGGCTGTGTTAATTAGCAACTATGACCTGAACCAAAGATCCAAAAAGGTAGTGCCCCTTACATAATGTTATTGACTGGGCTCTTTAAAGAAAGGGAGTCCAGGACAGCAGAACTTCATAGAGCAATACGCAGGAGCTACTGCCCTGGGCAGCAGTGAGGACTGGACCCTACTCAGACTGAAGAAACAGAATTTATCTTCAGGATATTTACCTGCTAAAGCCTTATGGTAGAAAGCAAAAACTTAACAAAAAAAAAAAAAAAAAAAGAAAACATAAAATAACCAACCCAGAATTAAAAGCCTGAACATGAATTTAAAATACTCACAACACTGGCACAGCACAACAGGTAAAATTACACCCTAAAAACAGAAACAGAATCAGAGACTTTACTACTATTCATGCACTAGAAACAAGCAAAAAGTAAATAAACCAGGAAATGAAAAATAAGCCAGAAAGAAACAAAACCGAAGCAACTATTTCTAATTTCACAAGCCTGCCTCATGAATAGTCACAAGTCCCCACACAGCAAGCAATAGCTACACTAGCCCAAGCATGACACAGCAGGCACACTACAACACGAGCAGGAATAGGGCTTTTCAGTGAAGCTGCTGCCCAGTCTGCTCACTGTCAATAAACAACGCCCTAAACAGTATGTAGGATGGCCCCAATTTGCTGAAACCCTTTTATTTTAGCTGATCTACCCTTTATTTTAAACTACTCCTATTCATGCTTTTAACCCTAACCACCTTCTTAGAGACACGCTGTTTCCCTGTGGTGCAAGCAAATTTCCTCTTAATGCTTTCACACCTTTCTGCCATACATGTTTCTTCTCTTTCATTTCCTCCCACGAGCCCTATACCAAGTACTCCATGGCTTGCCATCTCACATTCAGACTCACACATACAAGCCTTCTCATCTCTCCCCCTTTCTAGAAGCATTTACAAACATAGCTTTCCAGTGATCAAAACCCAAATACATTAGGGGCAATTTCAAAGGATACCAGGGTTGTGGGCAGACCTTGACTGTTCCACTGCATAGACATTATTGGTCGGAAGAAGCAAGGTAACAATTAAATAAATGACAGAAAAAAACATACCCAAGAGCCATCTAACCATAAACCAACTGATGTATGTCACAGGTATTTTCAGCCTGAAGTTCTAAGTGGAATAAATAAAATTTTCATTGTGAAGATAATTCATACAGTTTTAGTTACTAATATCAAAACTACTTTCTCAACTACCTCCTATTTATGCTATTAAAAGCCCCTTGCTTAAGTTCCGTACCTTTGCTTCCTATCTGTCATTTAATCCCTGCTTTATAATAAGCAGGGACAGTACTCAACCAAGTCAATAGGTACTAACTTTTCTGTATTTGAGAACCACTTTAGTCAGAATTTGAAAGTGGAGGCTATATTAATTACCTCACATCCAAATGCCTCCAAGCCCTGAGAACACTGAAGTAAAACACTACTACTTCATCTTCAGTTTATCTCCTGTGATAGCCTCAAAGCCTGATAGACTGAAAACATTATAGGAGGAGGAAAATCAGTGGGTCAATTTCTTATCTGCTTCTAACACTTGCTCTTTCTGTTCAGTCACAGCAGTCAAAATGGAGATTCACAAGTCCCACTATAAAAAAGTATCCACCCTGCTTTGATACATAAGAAAATTGCAAGTGTACATGTTTCAAGCAACAACACTGTGGTGTATCATTACACCCTGGCCCATTTAGACCCTAGTTATGTCATTTATTGATAGCAGCACACTCACTGGTAGAAGCAACACACACATTTTTTTCTTCCACTGAAAAGCATTACAAATATGTAGCAAAGACAACAGATGCCTGAAGTATACACACTTCCTTCCAAAGTGTGGGAAAAAGTGGGCTTCTCTCTTTTCCTCCCTGTCAATTATCACCTGCTTCCATCATGTACAATGTAAATTTTGCCCACCTGTTGTACAGCTGCTGAGAGCTGAAGGTGTAAAGCAAGTACAAGGTGTTTCCAGTGAGAAAGGCCAGGATCCAGAAGACAACCAACACTGATCTCTTCTCCTGAGCAAGAAAAAGAAACAGAGAAGACTAATTCAAAGTCTCAAGGGTTGTGCTGAGCCTTCGACTGCTGAAAAATGCAAGATCAACCCAGGGGGCACAAATATGCAACTAAGAGTTAAGTAATTAGTTTATTTACATAGGGCTAAGACTCAGAAATAGGCTGCTAGGTAAAGACATATATAAACACAAGCAGAAATGGCTCTCACTCAGCTAACCTTTACATATAAAGTAATTTCAAGGAAATTAATTGAAATATGATGGTGAAAATGACAGCCTTGTTGAACGGAAGTTTCAATGTTGGGACTTTTCTTGGGATGTCTAAATTCCTCTGATATTTAAAATGCAGTTTGACAAGCAGATTGAAAAAAAAGTTAGTTTCATATATTGTCCTATAATTCTGAGCTGTCACCTGTTTGGAATGACACTTCATCAAAGGGGTGTTTTACAAATAGATCCAAAGTCACTTAGAGGAAGGCTTAGCTAAATCAAATATAACATAACCCATCACTACATGCAGCACATATGAACGTTATCTGAATGCATGTAGGTTCTAGAACATGCATTTTTAAATGAAGAAATAATTAAAGGTCAAAGGTCAAAAAAGTCCAGATTTTGCATTTCAGAAGACAGGGAACATTATAGATGGAAGCTGGATGGCAGAAGATCTTGTCCTGGGTCTTGTCCAAGTGTAATTTTAGAGAGTAAATTTTACTCCTGGGAGGAAAAACCCCAGCATTTTTCTTGTGAGCTGATTTATTAAGAAAACAGTTCTTAGTAGCTATTAACAGCCAGCAATGTTAGGTTGAGATTTAAAGCAGACAGATTAAGGGGCACACTACTGGAAAGACAGAGGTGCAAAGTGCAAGGCAACAGCAATCTATTACACAATTGTGCAATTTATCTGTTCATTAGGCATTGTATCGCATTTATTCCATTGCTGCTGGTAGATATTAAGTTCACACTTGTTCCACCCATGTCATTTTTACAAAAAAGCAACTCTAGTCTTGTGCTTTTCGTGCTGTTGAGGTATTCTTCTGACACTGAAGATCACAAGACCTGAAAAGATCTGCTAGGGTTTTTTATATTCTAAACATATTAACAACAGAACATTATAAAGACACTAACAAGCAAAACATCTACAAAATCCTACAGCTGAACATCTCAAAACATTATCTAAATGCTGATAAATTAAATCTCATAATTAACTATGAAATAGGTTTCAGCACCTCTGTTGGACATAATAGGAAACTAAGGCACATAGAAGTGCTTGAAGATGCACTGCCAGTCAGTGGTAGAGCCAGAAGCAGATTACAGTATCCCTGACCTTTCCTCTCTTTGTTCTATTATGCCACACTTTCACAAAAGAGCAGGATAGAAACTGTGGGAGAGCATCAATGGGGAGAAGTAGGAAGAGGGAGTAAGGATTAGGGCACGGTACTCTTATTCTGACAGATCTGTATGCATATAACGGCATTCAGCCCTACATTGCAAAGGAAGGTTCAACACAGATATTGTTTTGTAGACAAAGAGCAATGTTGCCTGGGAACATAAGAGAGTAAGATGCTGTACTCACCTTCAGAGCAACCTGTTCTCGGAGCGCTGAGTTGGCATACGCGAATGTGCTGGCCATACCAATGCACACGGCAATCCCTGCAGGGAAAGACACTGTCAAAGTATAGAAGGCTGAGCAGGAGCATCTGCAGTCCTAAGCCATTTGATATCAGCATCACAAGCTTAGAAAAAAAAAAAAAAAAAGGGTGATATTCTGGATGCACTGGGAATTAAAACATATAGACAACTAAGGGCAGTCTGGGCTCATATAAAGTTCAAATTCAAGCTAAATTAAAATGAAGCTACTGCAGTGAGCACTTGCCACTCAGCCCAACACACTCTGTCCTGATGTCAGGTTCTGTGCTGAAGGAGAACAGAAGTGTTGCAAGTTGTGGCTGCATTGTGCAAACAGAACTCAGCTACATGGCAGTATTACAATAGCAGTTCAGCAGCTCATGCAGGACAGAGCATGCTGTCAGAAACATATGGGATATTGGGTCCAAAGAGCAAGATGTTGCATACATGAATCAATACCTGATTTGGGGAATACTGGCAGAGCTGTAAGTGGACTACACTCAAGCTTTATTGGCTTCCCTGTGATGATAGTCACAGCATACTACTCCCAAAGTGAGTAAGGATCCTCAGACATACCACACATACAATTTTGTAGTAAGAGGAGGATTAGATGAATAGATTTTACATGACTACTGAGGGCTGAAATACTCAGGTACCATTAAAGAGACCTGGATAGACATATTTTTTAGGGAACTCTGAAGATCCTGATAGTAAAATGTAACTGCTGATGCTGTTTGGTTTGATTTCACAACTACCATCCTTCTAGCTACACAAGTGTCTCATCCCCCTGAACCCTTCTGTGCTACACAGAAGCCTCTGCTAGTCACTTATGTAAGCTCTCCCTACCTCTCCTAGAGAGACGTCTGAGGGAGAAGCCTTGGAAACATTCTCAGCCCCTATGGGAATGTCAAAGAGAGATTAGGAAATGGAACAGATCTGGTCTCCCAGAGGTCAGGACAGGAAACAGATGGGACTGACACAGATGAAAACAGCTTGGACTGAAAGTGGGGTGAATTTACCAAATGCATTATTCCATGCATTTATGTCCCCTTCATGCTAGACTACCTCTAGACACTGTCACACAGATAAATGTATCAGACACCATAGCATGAGAAAGCTAATACACTTACAATCCAAAACCAGTAGATGCTTACCAAGCTTGTGCTGGAAACAAACTTTAGCCAGGAGGATCAAGATGAAGGGAAGTCCCTTCTGCAGCCAACCGATCACAGCTTTTAACTCTGAGAGAGCTGGGGCTGGAGTTCCAGCCTGTTCGTCACTGCCTTCCTCAGCATGCCCGTGGCGGTCCCCTCCTGCCATATGCAGTAGGGAGGAACCCCGGTGATGGCCATGGTGGAAATGATGGGACGACTGCCGGTGGTGGAACGGGGCTCCCTCTGTACGACTGGTCCCTTCCTCCCTTGGGGCTGGCATCTGAATGAATACTTCCCCACCTCCTGCGGAAGAACCTAGAACCAAACCTGACTGGAACGGCGTGGCTGTGATGGTGCCCGACGGGATACCTGCCAGGCCTGAGAACAGCTGCTGTGGTGAGGAAGCTTCAGCCTTCAGACTTTCAAAAACTCCACTTTCATCCACACTGGTTTCAGAACTGACTGTTTGGCTCCGGTTTCTGCAGTGGATGGAGATTAGAGAAAGGCAATTAAACAAAAATGAGTGCCACAGAATTTCTCAGTCTTTTCACCCAATTCTGACCATATTAATTTAAGAGTTCCTCACACACTATCAGAATACCTAGGCTTCAGATGACAGAAGCTTTTCCCTCTATTTGCTGTTAGAAAGTCACAGTTGCAGAACTAGAGGCGAGTAACCACAGTCCTAAGATAAGACCAGAGTACTTCTAAAGAACTGATCAAAATGCACCAGTTCCTTCATCTAAGGAACAGAGTTCCCAAACACCCCCTTTACTTTTCGAGGAACGAAAGAACACATCTGATACCAAATTCAACGTATTCTATAATGATTTTAATATTTAAAGAAAAACATACAAAACCTCATGTAACTTGGCACAGCACAACCAAGACAGGTCACAATATATATAAACAAGTTAATCAAGCTAACTCAAAGAAATGACCTACCCCCAAAACCTTCTGTCTTTATTTAGGGATGATCACTACTTGATGAATAACACCAACAAGAGACAGAGTCAACTGGGGAAGAGAAGCGTTCAGAGCTGCTTGTGTGTCCCTGGCCCAACAAATATTATAAGTGGAGGATGTGTTCATGGGTCAAGAGAATTTGTTTTATTTTTATATTCTCAGCAAATTGGACATGGATGTACCCAAATCACTGGGCACTGGACAGAATTAGATCTCACACTGATTCTTTCCTGAGCTTGTTGTATTATAGAGAGATTCCAAAAAGAAAGTCTTAAATATCTTCATCCTAATACCAAAAGAAAATAGGCTTTCTTCACCCAAACTCAATACTGTGGTACTGAAATGAATACATGTAAAGTTTAGATGACAGGGAACAATAGAGATAACAAGTAGAACAATAATTAGGCAGTAAAGTCCTGGCAGACAGAAAATTCCTCTATAACTTGCAAAAGGAGAGTAAAGAATAAATAAAGCTCTGCAAGAGGCAAAGCCCACAAATAAGGCATGTTGCAGAGCTTCAGTCTCTCTTGATTTTACTCCTTGGAGATCTCCAACTTTAGAAATAGTGGTCACAAGCTGAGACAGCACATGCAGGCATGCACAGGGCCCTTAACCCTCTCTCTCCCATGGGTTCAAAAGCCTCCCCAGGCATTTTACAGGGCACAGAGTACTGCCTTTCATCTCACTCTGGAGATAGCTTCAATCCTCTCTGGGCACACCTTCCCACTAAGTAAACTCCTAATAAGGCTTTTTATAGCTACACCCCATTCCCAACATCTCTCTGCAGGCTCCAGCAAGGAATCAAGTCAACAAGACACTGCACACCTCTTTTTGGTTCAAAATATTTGTCAACCAGATACTAGATTTTACATCTAACATTACAATTCAGGGATGTATAAACAAGACAGGGACATAATGTGACAGTACTTCTGTCTGGGAACATAACAAATTGGGTGGCACCCTGTGTTACAGATAAATACACAGCTATTGTTTGGAACAATACTACCATGCTTTCAGTAGGAAGGAATTAATCAGGGACATATTTAAAACCAAATAAACAAGGATGAAATTGTGAGTCTGCTGAAGTTAACAGAAGTGAAGACCGGTGGCAACAGCATTTCATTTTACAGTTAGAAAATCTTCAGTCTGTGTTACTGACAATATGTTTTTCCCCTTGTTAAAAAACAGAAGCATTTATAAAAACCGGTTGACATTACTCTGCTTATCTTTTGGAGTCAGTAAAAGACACCTATCACGATCATATTTTAAGCATTCAGACAGATCCTGAAGTACCTTACAAGTTTGTACAGACTCAGAGAGCTCTACATTGCAGATGAGAGGGTCTATACAACATCTTACGTGCCTCTCAAGCCCCAGCCTTGCCTGCTGATATAAAACCCACAGACTGCACTGAGGCTTGGGCAGCATCATGCAGTAAAAGTTGAAGACGGCTTTCTTTTCTCCTGAAATTAAGAATGGTACCATGCTAAAGTGGTCACAGCATCAAGCTTCACCTCTACGTGCAAAACCACTGAGAAATACTTAGTCTTTCACTTACAATATCAGCTCAGCCAGAGCAATGTAATTTGTTAGTTCCATCTTTGTCTTAGAGCAATTAGATTAGTCCATTCTTTAGGAAAAAAAAAAAAAAAAAAAGTCAAGCTCTAACCCTGGGAAAACACAAGGGAATATTTAGTACCAGAACAACAACAGCGGCAAGCCTCCCCTGCTGATGTTATAATTACAGAAATGAATTAGAGGTATTCTACTTCTAAATATTCACATACATGAAGCTAGATATTCTGGCATAGTATAAAGGATCACCTAAACTCTTTATAAAATACTAAGTCATCATAGTTGGGATCTTCAGACCAGCAGACTTTTTAAACACCTTAATATCAGAAGTATAAATAGCCTCTCTTCATACAGATCAATCCTTTCAGATTGATAGTGCTCAGGATCCCCACAGGACTGTGCCATGAATCGCTCTTCTAGAGCTACGAAACGTCCTGCCTGTGCTGAGCCAGCTGTCTCCATATGTGCCATACTGGATCATGAAACCTGAAACACCGTAGCTGGCAGCAGTCAGTCACTGACACAAAGGAGAAAAGTAAGTATGTCTCTAAACTTTCTAAACCCAAGCAGAAAGCCTGGCTACTCTACATGCACAGGAAGCACATGCATTTCTCAGTTTTGAGCTTTCATCTTCTGAAGCACACCATACATTTCAATCAGAACGTTGTCCCCTGGAGAGGAAAGTAGAGGAAAAAAGAAGGAAAATGATTTACCTTTCAGGAGGAACGTTGTCAGTGTTGCTGCTATGCCGTCTCTGCATTTTTCTCAAAACCTTAAAACACAACACGCTCAACATTAACGTTATAGGTCAACAAATCCCAGCGTGACTACTAAGAAAGGCCCACAGAGTCAGAGGGCTGTGAAACCCATTCAGCTAGTGACATGGCTGGCATAAATCATTTGCTTCTCTGAAAGAGCACCTCAAGCTTGCATTTCTTTCTCAGTACACTTGTGAAGAAACAACTTGCAACTGGCAAGTGGAAGCACACGCACACAGGTCTCCAGGCAGGGCAGGAACTAGTCAGATGCCCCTCGGCAGTATGCAGCAGTCACAGGGAGCGTGCTGCGGTGTGACGGCGTGTTCTGATAGAGAACGTGAGCACAACTAACAGAGTAGCTCTCGATGTGACACGTGAATCAGCATTCACTCTGGAAATGAAATCCCTTCTTCCTCTTCTGAAGAAACTTGCTTTGTAGTACAAAACGGAGAGGGAGGAAAAAAAGAAAATGCATAAACTTCTTTTATGAAAAACCACAATCAGATCATGACAATATTCTTCCAAATAAGCAACCCATTCCTTTCAGAACACAAAAATGCCATTAGCAAACTCTGCACCATGGTCATAAATAATATGCACATATGCAAAAGGTCACACGTTCCTGCTCCACTCATCCTGGAATTGTCAGCTTAAATAAAGTAAGGTCTGGAGCAGGAAATGAAAAGGCACTGAAACTGTATTAACTTCAGGACCTTCTTCTAGAACAAGGAGAGAAGTTCTTTATTTAGTTATTTAAATCTCTGTTTTCAAGTGTCTAATTTTAAGGGAACAACCTTAAACGCATTACACCTTTTTAAAATAAAGTTAATTCAAAAGCAAATAAGAACACAGAATCATCATCATCATCAAGGCACAGCACAGAGTACCTGGCAACTAGTCTTACACTGATTCATGTCCTATTAGTTATAGAAAACCTGTGGAATGGACTATTTTTGCAAGTGATTTGTCCAGGTTCCCCCAAGTATTTAATAGATTTAGAGAGACATCCATTAAATATTGAAGTCTGATTCTAGACTATGATAGCTATATAATAAATAAATGTAAATAACATAAATTATATATATAAATATATATTACAGGGATATATACATATATATTTTTATATATACATACATATATAGCCAAATATGTATCTATTTATACATATATATACGTATATATAATTATAAAATACAACAAATAAAATGTAAAGGCTCTAAATACTTTTGAGTACCTAAAGTTATAACATTATTTATAACCTTTCATACTGCTTGACTATATGTAAATAAATGCATAGCTCTGTATCTGTATTCTGTAAAGGCACAATGGGTCTGAGAACATTTCCCAGCTGTCTGTAGACAGATGTACAGAAGCTGAAAAGTAGAATATATGGCGTTTCCCGCCCCCCCCCCATATTTTCACCTTTTAATTCATATTCTTTACTTTCAGTGACCCACTAGTCCATGCAAAATTGCATTAAATTAAAAATTGCATTAAATTCAAATGCAATTCCTTAATAAAGCCCAAATCACGCAGCTCACATTGCATAAACAGACAGTTGTGTTTACCACATACACCTGCAGTAAAAGTATATGTAGTTTGCCCAGAAGTTACAAGAAGTACATGTACCAGAAGACAAGTTACAAAACAGTGAAAGAAGAAAGGGTATTTCAGTTAAATCACCCAGGTAACTGTATTGAATTTGAAACGAGATTTAAAAAGTTAACATTTACAAAAAAGAGAAATGCTCTTGGTTTGTAATATCCAGCCCTGAAGCACCCCATCAAGTTGGCTGAACTGAGACAACACTGGATTTGAGTCATCACTGACAGAGAACACGGAGATTCTAATATGAGATGGCAACTTTGGACATCCACTTGAGAGTTAATACACAAATATCTGTGTAAATAAAATTTGGAATTATCATATATGGCAGAAAACCCCACAGTTTTTAACATACTTTATGGAGAGGATGCAGAAGGACATCATAAATAAAAGAAATCTAATTCTAACCAAAGTTTTCAGGCACCCTACGTTACCAACACTCTCTCAACTACAAATTTTGGTCTTGTAATTCCCAGCAGTTTTTTAATCTTCAGCTATACATTTCAATTTGTATTCTGTTTTACAAGGTCAAAATTAGTTTTATAAGGATCGGTAAGTTTTATACATTCAGAAATACATACTTTTTTTTTCTCCCCCTCAGATTTTTTGAAGCTGCATTTGTAGTAACAACACTTAGTACTCCAGGAATCTTTTATGCTTTCCCTGCAGTAAAAGCTATTTAATCCTAACCTGACAGTATCTCTGTTGACTTAATATATAGTATTATCCTCTTTTTAACCAAAACAGTAATTAAGATATGATGAAAAGGCCAAAACAGGCTCACCTATGCAGGCAGGGCATGTCCTACCTGTGAACAAGTTTGGGGTCACTGCTTACAAAGAAATCTGTCCATCTTCCCATGCTACAAGCTGAGAGCTAGGGTCAGCGTGGAGATAACTCTAAAACTTGGAAAATCCTTCACGCTTCCAGACCATTAGAAGTCTATTAGATTGTAATGTGGGGTGAACTCATGTTCCAAAATGACAGTTATATGGGGAGACACTTTTTCTTTTGGCATCAGCCATGAAAGGGATGGTGACATGAATGCTAAGTATTGAAGATGCAAGGCTTCTTGAGCAGTAATCACCTATTGTGCCCAGAGTCCTATAGACTTGAGATAAATTTAAACAGACTTTTTTCCATAAGACAGTCAACTTCAATACTTATTGGTTCTGCCTTTTCCTGATTAGGGGTTTTCATCTTGCAACACTTGGACGTTTTTTTAACAGTACCTGAACAGGTTTAACCAGAGGTGCAAGGTGCTGTGGTAGGAGAAAGGAAAGCTCAAGAGGGTGCAGACATCTCATACATGGAGTCCTTCAGATAAACCACGATGGTCCAAATTTCAAACTCATCACAGGTCCTTCAAGCTGGATGATTGGAAGGCACCCGAACCACAGTGCTGAAAGAGGGGCATCTGTAAGAAGCACAAGCACAGAGTCATTTTCACCGCAGCACAGTGAGTTTCACCTCTCTGTGGTAAAGAAGAGGAGCGGGAGCCCTTGGTGCTCAGCCCCTGCACCCATGCATGATCCAACAACGCCGTTTTCCTCTGGGATTGGCACCTGCAGCCCTGCTCACTGCACAGGCATTCCCCGAGCGCCTGCTGGGCTGTACTCTGCCTTCGTTGTGTATATACAGACAGACGTGTGTGTAATAAATAAATAGAGGCACGAATGTATTTATGTATACACGTACACATATACAGATATATACCTACAGATACAGTTATACACATACACACGTATGTAGGTATACACATGTATGTATGTATACACACGGAGAGCCATAGGTGAGGCCTTTTTTTTTTCCCCAGTTAGGCTGGGGAAGGCGATTCCCAGCGGGGGCGGGGGCAGGCCGGGTGCCGGGAGCAGGAGCCGCGGCCCGGGAAGCCGCGGCGCCCCCGTACCTACCCGTGCGGGCCGCGCTGCCGCGCGCCGCCCCCGCCCCGCGCACGCACAGCCGCGGCTTCCGCCTCCCCCGCCCCGCGGCCGGCGGAAGCGGTTGGGCCGCGCTCCCGGGGAGGGAGGCCGGGCCCGGGGGGCAGCGGCCGGGGGCAGCCCGCCCGCCCTCCCTCTCTCTCTCCGTCGCCGGTGATGCCGGGTCCGGATCAGCGCTGCCCCCGCCGTTGCTCTCCCTCCCGGCGGCGGGGGGCTGCGGGCTGAGGGCCCAGCCCCCGCCGCGCCGCCATGGTGCCCTGGGGAGCGGTGCTGTGGCGGCGGCTGCTGAGGAAGCGCTGGGTGCTCGGCGTCGTCTTCGGGCTCTCCCTCGTCTACTTCCTCACCAGCACCTTCAAGCAGGTCAGTGCCCGTCCCGGAGCCCCGGCGGGAGCTGCGGGCCCGGGCCCGGCACGCTGCGGGGTGTATTAGAACATCTCTTGTCCCAGGGTAACTTCAGTTCTTCAGGTGCTGTGACTGAGCTCCTGGGATACGTTGCCGTAAGAATTGCATCGTAATTATTAGATGAAGATGAGTTAAAAGTGTTACATCTGATACTGTTTTTGACAGCTATAGTGTTTTGAACCAAAACCGGAAAAAAAAGTCTCAAAGGGACTGTTGTAATATATCTTGTGAACTGTAACTCTGCTAGCAAGAAACTTATGGAAGAGAAATATGTGTACCTATAGTTATCTAATACAACATATGCTACTTTTTTGGTTGTAGTGATGGAGTTCAGCTGCATTAGCTGAACTTTTGGTGAACTTGCATATCCCTGTTTTACTGGCTTCTGTTGCTTTTGTGCTGTGTACAGCGGAAAGTAAGCTACTGCAAGTAGTGTGTTGCTTACGGTGCTGACACTTGAGTTTCCTGTGCTGTGGTGCTTGCAACTACTAGGCGTTTTTAATTGGGGGAAAAGTATGTGGATTAGAGTGGCAGAAGGAACTTGTATATACATTTGGTTGCATTTCTGTCTTTCCTTGCAGGAAGAGAGGACAGTGAGAGATCGAAATCTCCTCCAAGTGCAAGAGCATGAGCAGCCGATCATGTGGAAGGTGAAGTTCAGTTCAGGAAACGGCAGTCAGCTGAGTAACCAGTGCAGGAATTCTGTGCAGGGGAAGCTCCTCATTACAGATGAACTGGGTATATTTGATACTAAGAATTTATTCTGCATATTGCAGTGTTGAATGCTGCTTTGCCTGTCTGATTGTTCACGGCACTTCCAGATAACAACTGCTCCTTATTAAGTCATTCTTACTGCACAACCTCAGCTGTTGGCACTTCATCCTCAGACAGGATTATTTTTTTGGGGGTGGCTGCAGACACTGCTGCTGTGATCTGTGCGCAGCAGCTTGGGTCCAGCCGGGCTCAGCTCAAGCATGATACCTTATGAGTGCGGCTGTACTGTTTCCAGGGCCACCAACACCTCCAGTTACCTTTGTACAGAGCTCAGACGTTGAATCCTGCTCAATTTTGTGTGGCTGCTTGCAGAGCTGCCTCCCTGCAGTGTATTCCTACTGTCAGGTATGTTAGGGAGAGTAATCAGGGAAACCTGATGGGCCTTGTATGGAGGTAGCTCAGGACTGGTATAATTAGTGCTCAGTCACAGTTAACAAGCTCATCTGACCCTTATAAACCCAAGAAAATTTCTTGTAGGTTCTCAGATTAACCACTTGTTTTAAGTGCATGGAACCTTTCCTGCCCTGTGTGCTTGTTGCTCAGGCACTGGACCTTTTTTGATCAGAAATCAAGGCTGTAGAAAACCCACCACATCTTCTGTGATTTGCATCAATGTTAAATTTAGCACTGCCTGAATTATGCTTACTGCTGATTCACTAAGGTCTCTCAAATCACAGATATCTTTCACAGTCTAATGCTGTGGTAGTACAGTTTCTGTAAGGACATACACTGTGGTTCTGTACTAATAAGGATTCTGCTCAGCAATTCATATTACAGCTATCCTTCATGGATATATCTAAGTCTCTTCATATTGAACTGTAGAGTTATCCAGACACAGACCACTTGAAAGAGCACTATTCATAGTTTTTTTTTCCAGTGTCATCATCACCAATCACCTTTCTCCTTCCAATCACAACAATGAATTATGCCAAAAAGAAATCAGAACTTAAATATTCTGCATTTAAGTACTCATACTGTATATACCACATATTGGAGTAGGTACATAATAGTTGTGCAGATAACACCGGGCTGTTGTGCAACTCGGCCGTCTGACCAAGTGTTATTTCAAAGAATTGCTAGTTAGGACTCAAACGGAGGGGGATCATAATGTACTAAATAATAAATAAACCTGTTCTTAATGTGATTCTTACTATGGATTTCTATAGAACCTACAACAGAGTACGTCTTGCCAGTTGTTACTACTGTTTCTGTTTTTCAGGCTACATCTGTGAGAGAAAGGACCTACTGGTAAATGGCTGTTGTAATGTCAACGTGCTCAGTACAAAGCTGTACAGCTGTGACAGCTGCCTTCCCAACGGCTGCTGCAGCGTGTACGAGTACTGTGTTTCCTGCTGTCTGCAGCCCAGCAAGGTGCATAGACTTTCTCCTGTTTTTCAGGTGTTCTCGGCTGCTCAGGTTCCTCTGTGGCTAAAAGTGCTTGTTTGGGAAGAGCTTTTTCCTTAGAGGGGACAGGAGGAGGAAAGCCTGCAAGGACCACATGGCAAGCTCTAAATGAAGTTTTTAAAAAAATGCCAACTTTGAGAGGAAATACTGGGAGCCTTGCAGACTGCTTCAGGGGAATTGTATTTGCTGAAGGGAAATGATTGCAGAAAAGCTATTCTAGCCAGTGTCAGTTTTGCAATTAGCACTTCCCTGTGTTTTTTTGGCTTCTCTAGATTCACTTCTGACTGCTGGGGTTCTGTGATGTGTTAACATTTCAATGCTTTCTGGAAATTCTAAGTGGAGTTGCTTACTATTCCTCTGATATGAGCTGTGTAGGTTAGAGGTGGGCTTTGATTACTCCTTGTTGCAGTATGGTGTTTGTGTTTTTCATGTTTTGTCTTCATTTTTGCTAACCACTTTAGCAACATCTTCTGGAACGCTTCTTGAACCGGGCAGCTATTGCTTTCCAAAACCTCTTCATGGCAGTGGAAGATCACTTTGAGTTGTGTCTGGCGAAATGTAGGACTTCATCACAGGTAAGACACAACTACATGTCCAGGGCTCAAAAATGGAAAAATACCCAAAAAGTGCCCTTGGAAAGTGGAACTTTGGTCCTACAAATGGCTGGTCTGTTGTGCTTGTATGCACACGGGCATTTTCATAAATGCTGAAGCTGTGGCTGAGAGCTAATCTGAAGTCAATCCTATGATTTGTAAGGTGAAATAGTAACATCAGCAGTAAATGAAGGGCAAAAGTGCATGTTTAGAGCAGGATGAGCTGTATACTCTCTTTAGGAAAGAGGTACTTAACTAAAAAGAGACTAGCTGAGTTCAGTGACTGGTCAAGATCTCATAAGGATGAGAGCAGTGAGAGTTGTTCCAGTAGCTTCAGAATGCAACTTAGTTTATGCTACATTTTTAGACTTCCCATATGCTGACAATCATCTGTATAGTAACTCAAAAAGTATGTTGTAATTCTTTTGCTCTTTAAGAACAGAGGTGAACTGTTACCCATGTGATTTCCTTAGAAGTTTTGGTCTAGGCAGTCATTGGCCCTCTTAGAAAGTGCTGTTGGAGATGTCATGCAGCTTGAGTATTTGATACAGTAATAGGGATGGATTGCAAAGGACATAGTTTCGAATGTCTCCAAAGTTAGGTTTTTCTACCCATAGTGTCTGAACTCTAGCTTTATCAATAGAAATGCACACATCTCAAGTAGCAACTTTATTATGCCTTGCTTGCTTAGGACATTTGATGATACTGCCTAAACATATATATTTAGGTTTTTTTTTCTTCTGAATATTGTATCTGTTCACACCTACTTGGGTAGTCTCCTGAAAAGGTTCTGGGTATGGTTCAACGTTAAAGTGCTATAATACAGCAACTGTCCTTTATACGTTGGGAATGTAGCGTTGTTTGACTCCAGATGATGCTCTAATGTGCAGAAGAATTTGGGAAATGTTTTGCATGCTTATAAATGCTCTGGGCTTCGGCCCTCAGTGAAGGGATGTATTATTTCAATATGTGTGTATTGTTAAAGCTTCTCCTCTTCTTCCTGACAGAGTGTGCAGCATGAAAACACCTACAGAGATCCAATTGCAAAATACTGCTATGGCGAATATCCCCCAGAGCTTCTGCCTGTTTGAAAGCTACACGATCTAAGCAACAAAGGGAAGGAACGGGAGTCTAGAATCCAAAAGAGCAAGGCAACAGCTGTTGCATTAAAAGAGCCTCAGTGTAAATGGTTTATGTTGTTTCTGGGGACAAACCCAGAGGTGTACAGTATAAACAATGGACTTCAGTTCTCTGGGATTGAATCTTGCTTTCTTCAGTTTACAATGCACCTTCTTTAGAGTACTAGTACGTTCTTTGAGTACTTTCTCTAAATTTTAGGATGCATGGAGTTGATCTAGGCTATATAGGATCATAGAAAAAATATCTAATGTAGCTTTGCAGATGTACATGGAGGTTCAATTGCATCTCTGGAGTTCAGAGACTTTCTAGAGTGACCGTAATAATTGGAGGATTTTTGCTTTTAGAGAGTAAAGCATGCCTGTTACGCTTCTCTCTCTGGAGCACTTCTTGACATGCATGGTGTACACTACGTATGTAATTATGAATTATTTATTCATTTTATATGGATTACTAGCTGAAAGTATTGATGCTCTGCATAGCTAGTTGTTGATGCCTTTCAGTCCCTGTTTTGTTATGTCAGGTAGAAAGGATGTTTTAGATCCTGACTAAAATTAGTTGGTTTTTTAACTCAGTCTAAAGGAATTGTATTGGGATTTGTCACTATAGTGCTTATGTTCCTCTCAGTGAGTTTAAAGCATTCAGAACTCCAATGGAGTTGTTAATCTGTCAAAAGTCCCACAGCATGAGAGAAGAGCAGGGATCTGCCTAGGATGAGATGTTTATTGTCTGTAAATGCCTTCCTTGTTACTCTGCAGCAGTTTCCTCAAAGAGGAATCTTAGTCTTGTAAACCGCTCTCTGCTAGTCCACTTTCTGACAGGGAGCCCTGAAGATTTGTTTGCTTGAACTCCTTCAGGCCTAGGTAATTCAAATGTACTTCACTCCTGGTTGTGCAGGAGGCGAAAGGGTGGAGTTGATTTCAGTTTAATGATGTCCTTGTGTATGAAGTAATTAGAATGTTGGAGCATGGCTGTAAGGATTGTAACAATGGTGCAAGCCCTCTTCTGAGGACAACTGTGTTGCATGAGTTCAGTTAAACAGTCATGATGTTTTTGATTTGCTGTTTGACATACTTGCTAATTTGGAATTTTGGTCTGGTCAGAATGGCACTAGAACAGGGTTTGTTTTCCCACCATTTCCCCTAGCTCTCAAATTTGCAATTTAAACTCTCAAGGCCACACAACACAGAAAAGTTGGGTAGAGAACCTGTAAAATGCTGACTAAATTAGTATTTCCCCTGCAAGTCACTGGGCAAAGTCCAAGTGCTAGACAAAATTGGGCTTTTTTATATGCAGAGGCTCATTTCTCCTGTTTTTACCCCATCAGCCTCCTCCATGATTTTGACTTTGTATGCTTGTTTAAACTGATGCTTTCTATTCCCTGACTGAAATAAAACAGTCTACAGAGGCTAAAAAAAAAAAACAAAAACAAAACCAAAACAAACAAAAACCAGAAAAACCCCACAAGCACAGTGGTGGAGTATCCTGGTGCAAAAGATGTGTAGAATTTGATTGCAATTAGATGGGATATAAATAAGAAGTAATGTTACCAGCCATCCGATAAAATCCCCTTGCAGTGTTTTCATTCTTCTTTCCCAGAAGTCATCAAGTGAGATAATGGTTCCATCAGCAGATTCTCTTGAAAATCTCATTTTTCCAAAAGCTTAAAAGCTTTAGCATTAGCAGTTTTTCCACCTGAAAATCTGTCTCCCCTTTGCTGCCATCCTATGGCAACTTGCTGCAGCAAACATGATGCAGTGTAAAGATGCAGTGTGAAATGCTGTCTTCAGGGGGTAGCAGAGGTTACTTCTCTTTTTAGTGTTAAACAGATTCATCACCCCTGTTCCAGCACTTCATAACTGTTTTCCTCAGGGAAGAATAGACCATCAGGCTGGTCTGTTATCATTCCTGCTGAGAAGTATTCCTGGCACTTTGTTTTTGCACCATGACTGATGAGATCAAGATACCGATAGCTTGCTCTTTCTTTCTTTTCCAACTTGGTATTAATTCCTTAGCAGGTGATACCACTGCTTGAAGCCGTTAATTGTAAGAAATTGTAAGAACCAACCTAATTTGGACAACATAGTGGGAATTCCTGGCCCCCTTTTTCTCCTAGAAAAACAGAATGTGATCAGAAGTGCATTGTGACCTTGGTCCATTCAACAGGACAGAAACTGCATCCTCCCTCCCTGGTTGTTGAGCTGTTCAACTAGTGTCTATACTATATGTTAAATCATTAAAAATTTATCTGTGTTCCAAAATGCTACCCTTTCTCATGTCTTTCCTTGAACTACAAGGCAACTGTACCACATTGTAAGTTTTAAAAATGCAATGGAGCAGAAACACGCTAACTTGAATACATGTAATAAGGGCAAGCAAATAGATGCTAACAGGAACTCTATTTAATTTCAATTTAAGAAAAGAGCATGCTTCTCTCAGTGATTCACAGAAAGATCTGGACCTTCATAAAAGCAGATTGAGCAGGGAAAGGAATGCAAAGGATTGTTTCATGTTGTGAAGATACGGTGAAAATGTCAAATCTGCTTCCTGGTAATATTTCTGTGTGGTTTAAGTGATGTGCATCCCTCTTGCAAAAAAAACCTGGTGATTCTGTGGTTGTTGGTGCCTGTCTGACATCTCTTTTTTTATTTGTCAGCTGAGAGACCCAGGTTGTTGACTTGTCTTTGGCAGCAGATTTAATGAGAGCACTTGATGGAGTGACTAGCTTGCTTATCTGCACTGAGGTCAATGCTAGGGATAATTGAATGGGTTGTGTACTCCTTGGTTTCTGTAGTTTACAAGAATATTAATCCTAGTGAAAAATAGTAGCAGCTGGCATCTTATGAGGAACAGGTATAGTATTTAGCTGTACCAAGCTGGAAATGTTAATCTGTGGCAGAAGAGCAAAGCAGTAACTCCCATCTTAGCTGAATTTAAACTTGAGCCTTTGGCCTTGAAAGAACCTGCTGTACTGCTCCATTTGGGATGGTACATGGAGAATGAGATAAGTTTATTGTGATGGGCTGGAGTTCTGGGAAGGCAAAACCAGGCTTCTGGCTTGAGGCCAACACTGAACTGTTGATGAGTTGGGATCATCGTTTCTGCCTTCTCAGAATCTCGTTCATTATAGTGGCGATTCTTCACTCTATCTCCTGTATGTGCTCAGGCTCTAATCACTTGGAGAACTTTCTAACAAACTATTAGGAGTCAATTTATGAATATAAAACAGTAAGCACAGCAAATCCTAAACATGTCTTCGTTCTGATATGCTTTAAAAAAGTAATTTTTTTTTTTTTTTACTTGTCATTTAGGTGAATGGGCTTGAGCTTTAGGATTTGTTCTGTCTTGTGCTTAGTCACTTAAACTGCAAACACACTAGATCCTTTTACCTAGCACCATAATGTCATATTTGTTCTTCAGTTATTCTAGTCAAGGAGAGGTGGGGGAGGAGGTGAAAAAGAATTTTCTAACTCAGCAAGTTTCACAAAAGATGGAGTTCAGCAAATTACTGGTGCTTTAATAACAGTCCTCTGCATTTTTGTACAACCCAAGGCAAACAACTAACTATATGCAAAGGGGGGGGGGGAAATGCCAACTTCAAAACCTGCAGGGAATGATGGGAAAGTACTTAGTTCTTCATTTTTGATCCATGTCTAATTAAACAGGCAGTTCTGTCTACTACTTTTGGTCAAACAAGGTCTGACTTGTAGCAACATGCTTATTGTCTACATGATGTTCTCCATTATTGAGGCAGTCACGTGGCCACAGATTTTTCTTAGAAATCATGGTTCCTAGTAGATTAGAAGTATAGGTCTTAAACAAGAATTCTCAGGATACCTTCAGACTGAAGCATGTTTGTTGCTGTGGTCTGCTGTTTTGCCTGTGGCAAAATAACACAAAGGTGCAGAGTAGAGAAAATTAAGAAATTAATTCTGGCTGAAAAGCCTGCCTCGTAGAAGCTTTTCTGGTATGTATTTCAATTAAGAGGATAGAAGACCACAAGCTAGAATTGCAAATGGAATTGGAGGCAAGTGTTAGGTTTTCCATAGATGAGATCACAATTAGTCTGTTTCTACTGTTAATGGTTGAAATCAGGTAGCACCTGCTTTCTTGCCAATTTAATGGAAACTTCCACTAAAATCCAGCTCTCGTTTATCTTCTGTTTTCAGTCTCTCTCCATGCACCTACAGAGTAAGGCACACTAATAGCAATCAAGGTGAATGGGAATCTCACGTCAATTGTCTGCATTCTGTTCCTGTCCTGTACAAAATTTGTTTAGATTTTAAACAGATTTTAAACTCCTCACAGCAAATAGATAACTCTACGTTTGTAGTTCCTACAACTTCTGACCGTGGCCTCACCCGAGGCCTTTATTGTACCCATTGATATGAATAATACCTGTCTTATGCAGGTATGAAATATCACCATTTGAAGAAGTGGGATAAGGTTGGCTATGTCACAGATGTGACATGTTTAACACCAAAAAAAGTAGCATCCTAAGCTATTGACAATATCACATACATAAAAATGCATCCATTAGCTGTGTAAGATGATACTGGGTGTGCTGTATCCACATCTGCAAACTGAAAAATGTAGATTATTTGCAAACTACAGCTACAGACCTGCTTAGTAATGAAAGTTGTGCTATCTGAGGAAATTAACATGTTCATACATGAATGAACAGGGTCTTCGCCGATGCCTTAAAAATACATATTAACACCCCCCCCCGTCCGCTGTAGTAGCAAATGCATACAAAAGTATGAGTAAACAAGTGTAATATACCTCTTCTGATGTCTTTTTGTCTGTTCAACTTGTGTCAGCCTGCAAGCTTACTTCTAGTAGCATGTCTCAGCCGGTGTAACAGCGGGGATCAGCCAGCAGAGGTTACCACAGCATTTGGAGAAAATCTGGTCTCCTCGCTGCGGAGCCCGGCTGGCCGCGGGCCCTCAGAGCTGCCCTTCCCTGGGCTGATTGAAGACACACCTACAAGTACAGGACACGAGTCATTATATTACTCCAGGAAAATGTGTGGAGTGTCTGTCTGGAATTACTCCTTCACCTTTGGTCTGGCCACCCAAACCCACAAAATAAACTTACCTTTGAGGGCTGCCTGGGTTTTCAACCTGTTGGGCAGTTATGGGTGCTAATGTGGGAAAATAGCCATGGTACTGGGGCAAAGTGGTTGACAGCTGTTATACTAAAAATAATAATAATCATCATCGTAATATTTTAAAAAAACCCAAACTGACCCTTAGGAGGAGAGAGTGGAGAGATTTGCCCAACTGCTGCTGTGGGCTGGTCTGTCGGGGTGGCTCCCCTCGTGCCCCAGGGGAGCTGCGCCCTGACAACGCAGTGAAAAAGGCTCGTCCCTCGGCGCCAGGCTCTGGAGGTGCGAAGGGAGGGCTCTGCAGGCGAGCCCGGGGCTTTTCCAGGGCCAAGGCTCACTGGGGAGGGCTGTGGCCGGGGCGCAGCGTGAGCCTCTCTGCCGCCTCCCCCTCAGGCCCCGTTTCCCGCCTTTTTCACGCTACTCACCCCCCCATTAGCTGCCTGACCCGGGCTGAGGGGAGCCCTGGTCTGAGGCAGCCGCTGTGGTAATGCACCGGGCCCCAGCTCTCGGAGCGTCACGGCCCTCACACCGGTTTCTCGCCGTTCACGGGAGCTCCGTAACTGTGTCCGGGCCACAGCCCTTCGGCTGGCGCATCCTCTCCCACGTCGCGCGGCAGTGGCTCTGAGGGAAAAACGAGGTAAGGCGGCATCTCGGCACCTGAGGTTTCACGGCGAGGCGCCTCAGTGCTGCCGACGCCGAGGTGCTGCTTTGTTTCAGCAGTAGTTTTGTTTACAACCGCTTAGAAGCTTCCCCAGACTACAGCTGAACGAGTGTGCTGCGGGTTTTGTTTTTTTGTTTTGATTTGGTTTTGTTTTGTTTTTCTAGTTTTACGTACACAAGGCTGTATTTTAACATGCAATTAAGTCTTAACCTCACTGCTGCCCTGTCGTGTCCCTGGTGCAAGCAGCCTGTGGCTGCTTGCTGCGGGGGGTCCGGGCCGGTGCCGCGGCCGCCCCCGCTCCCCGGGGGACACTGGAGGGTTCAACCCCTCGGAGCCCTGTTTTCCTCCTCCCTTTCCCAGCCTCTCACTGCAGAGAGCCGTGGTTCTGCTTTTTAACCTCCGGCCAACCTTAAACCTGCTTTCGTTTTAATTCTCTCAGCTCACTCTGCTCTGGTTTCTCTCCTTCCCACCCCCCCTCAGGCCTCTATATCTCTTTTCCCTTCCCTTGCTTTGCCTTGGATCTCATAGAATCAGAATAATTTAGGTTGGAGAACACCTTTAAGACCATCAAGCCTAATGCTGCCACTAACCCATGTCCCTAAGCACCACATCTCCACGTCTTTTAAATACCTCTGGGGATGGTGACTCAACCGCTTCCCTGGGCAGCCTTTTCCAGTGCTTGACAACCCTTTCGGTGGAGAAATTTTTCCTAACATCCAATTCAAACTTCCCTTGGTGCAACTTGAGGCCATTTCCTCTTGTCCAATCACTTGTTTCTTGGGAGAAAAGGCCGACCCCCGCCCCGCTACACCCTCCTTTCAGGTAGCTGTAGAGAGTGATAATGCCTCCCCTGAGCCTCCTTTTATCCAGGCTAAACACCCCCAGTTCCCTCAGTCGCTCCTTGTAAGACTTGTGCTCTGGAAGTCTCAGTGCTGTCCTCACCACAATGGATGATTACCAGCTATGACTCGGCTGTAGTTACTGAGTTCCTAGAGGAAATGTTGCTTTTTAAAGTAGGGAGAGGTATTGTAGCACGCTCCGTGCTCCCCCCCCCCCATTGCTTTTGAGGTAAGAGGGCATGGCTCTACTCTTTTCCCACCCTCTCAATTTCTCTTCAACCCACTTTAATCTGGTACTAGGTGTAGCTTTCCAGTGTCACAGTCCACCTTTGCTTTGAGTATTTATGCAAAATTTCATGCTGTCATGATTGCAGTGCATGTTAAAAGGCATACACATCCTAAGCTTCAGGAGAGAAAACTAGTGTTTCTGAGTGCCGGTGCTGTCAGCAGGGCTATGAAGCAGAGTATGAATTTTCCTACTTATGTTGAATTTGTCCATAAGAACTCAGATCTTGGGCCTGGATCCCGCTAGGCAAATGCATCTCATAAATACGGGTTTTGCTTTGATAAGGTATACATACCTATCTGATCACAATCTCTCATGGTGAAAAGTTTATATTTAGAATTTGTTGTAATGCCAAAATAGCACAAACA